GGGTCCATGGGAGAGTCTGGGGGCGCCCTTGTAAAGGAACACCACATGCCCTGTCCTTTTCACACGCTCGGTCGGGGCCTGTCAGCCTTGACACTGTAACCTGTTCTGCTAGCAGCTCTGGGGACACCCTGCCCTGCCCTTGTCCCACCTTGTTGGCCTGGCCTGTGTCCCCTCTGGCGCAGGATCCTACTGTCTGCTCCAGGGGCTTCCCAGTGTCCCCCATGACAGCCTGAGGGGCCATGCAGCACCCATAGGGTCAAGCTTAGGCCAGAGGCTCCCAGGACCCCCCTCCCCCAGCCTCCTGAACAGGGTGAAGGCCTGGCCTTTTCTCCTGTCCCAGTAGCATGGCAGTAAACATGGATCCTGGACTCCCATGTGTGTTGTGTCTTTCTGCTCCTGGGGCTGTGGGTGGCAGGTGGGTCTCGGGTGTCTGGTTGGGTGGTGGCAACAGTGACCCCTTGCGGCGTGGGTGCCTGCACATACACCTTGTACCGCTCTCTCGCCTGAGTCAGGCGTCCTACACTTGGGTGTCCAACACAGTGTGAGTTCAGGGTCCTGGAGCCACCTGGCCAAGCCTGCCCTGCCTGTGAGGCAAAGTCCCAGCTTGCTGCCAGCCCAGAGCTGTGGGAAATGCTGGGGCTGGCCCGCCCTTGCTACCCAGGAAGGGGCGGGCAGAGGGTGTGGTATTTGGTCCCCGCCCCCAGTCTCCCTTGGCTGGGGCTCCAAGTCTGGAAGGGCAACCCTGCCGGAGTGGTTGAACCAGTGAGCTGGTCTGGGAAGGAGCAGAGGGGCATTTGTTTGATCAGTCGGTCAGTCACTGAGCTGGGCATTGGACTTGGCCGGCTGAGTGCTAGCAAGATCTTACCAGAAATGGTTCTGTGCGGGCCCAGGAGCTGCCCGGCGTGAGCACACCACGGGGACTTGGAAGTTCCTGCCGGCCAGGGCACCCAGAGGTGCGGCAGGAGGAGGTCAGTAGTCAAGGGAGCAGTGGGTGGCACCTAGGCCTCACTTGGCTGCTGAGGGCCGCACTGACCTCCGTGCCTCCCCCACCCACCCTACAGCCTGGAGCCCCTGTCCACCCATCCTGACTTCGGCCCAAAGGACCCTGTGCTGGGCCCCACAGACCCCAGCTGTGGGCCTTCCGGTCCTCTGTGGGCCTCCTTGAGTCCTGAGTGTCTGGACTCACAGTGCCAGCCTGCAGCAGATGAGGGGGGAGGCCTCGGGACCCCCCAAGATGGCAGAACTCTGGACAGTGAGGCCCTGCTAGGGGCCACAGCTTCAGCCAGCACCTGGCCCCTGCCAGAGACAGGGGAGCAGGAGGAGGGGTGCCCCATCTGCACGGAGCCCTATGGGCCCAGTGAGCGCTGCCTGACCCTGCTGAACTGTGGCCACGGCCTTTGTATAGATTGCCTGCACCAGCTACTGGGCACAGCCCCTGGCTCAGACCTGGGCCGTGTTCGCTGTCCTCTGTGCCGCCAGAAAACGCCCATGCTGGAGTGGGAGATCTGCCAGCTGCAGGAAGAGCTGCTACAGGCTGATGGGCCCCAGCGCCCGCCACCCCCTAGGCCCCCCACTCCTCCAGGTCGCAGGCCGGGGCCCTGGGGCTCCCTCGAGCACCGCTACCAGTCACGCTTCCTGGCAGGGCCTGTAGGGAGCCGGGGCTGCCTTCCATTCCTGCCCTGCCCACCTGGACTGGGCATCTGGCTGTGGGCACTGCGGGAGCGTGGGCCCTGTGCCCGCCGCCTTGTGCTGCTGACCCTCCTGGTACTTGAGCTACTGGGGCTGCTGTTCATCTTCACACCACTCATGCTTCTGGGGCTGCTCTTTATGCTTCTGGACCGTGCCAGCCGCTAAGCCTTCTCTGGCTGGAAAGCCCAAAATCTGACCTGGCCCTGGCCATCCCTGAGCCCCACACAGGGAGCCTGGGCTGGCCAGACAGCCCACTCCACCCTGCAGCCAGGACAAGCTGGGCCCAAGGACACCCTACAAGGACAGCTGCTGGAGGAGACGAGGGCAGCAGGGAGGACTGTGAGCCAGGCCTTGCACTGGCTACGGCAGCCTCCATGCCACATTGTTCTCTCCTGAGGCCCAGTTGAGGACAACACAACAAGAGACAGCTGGACACCCTTAAGAGAGTCTGTTGGTGGAGGAGGGCAGGGGCCTCTGGCGCTGACTACCTGTGCTCTAGATCAGGGCCAGTGTGCCCTTGAAGGTCAGGGCAGTCTGAGGAAGGACCTGCACTGCACGCAGCTGGCCCATGAGACTCCGTACCCAGCCTGGCCGGGACAAGAGGGTGGCCCAGGGCTGCTAGGGGCTTAGCTGTGCTGGCCCCCAACACAAACCCTGAGGCTCTTGCCTGCAGGTGCCTCAAACAAGGGCAAGTGAAGTGTGATTGAGGTGAGGTGCCAACTACTGCCTGGTACAGGAAGTGCCCCTGCTACCTGCCTTGGCTGGCCTCCCTGTTACCTAGTCTCAACAGCAAGGGTGCACCCTGTGCAAAGGGACTTTCCCCAAACCTTGGCACTCCAGACCCCTGGTCCTAGTGCCCAGCTCAGAATGGCCACAGTCCATACTCACTCTTGGGAGACCCACACAGGCCGAGGGGATGGAGAGAAAACAATCTTGGTAGAGGACAGGTCCTGCATTTACCCTGTGGGCATCCATCAGCTGCGTACTGACTATGGCTGGCAGGCTCTGCACAAGCACTCGGGGCCAGACCCAGCCCACTGTGCAGCATTCCCCAGCCTGGCCCCAACCAGCAAGGCTGAGCCTCCTGCGGGCAGCTTCATGCTGGACGCCGTCTGGGCTGCAGCCCTGAGTGCCAACCTCAGGCCCAGCCCTCAGCAGTAAGCCTCAGTCCAGGGAACAGGTGCAAACTTTGGCAAAGAGTTTTAATGGCAGAGTTGGCTTCAGCGACAATACCACGAAGGGTTGGGCCACAGCCATGGTGGGCGAGGAAGGGTGAGTGGGTGACAGGGCAGGGCCGGGTCCCTAAAGAAGCAATGGGTGAGGGCAGCGGCAGCCGGTAGCAGGCAGACGGGTGCTACATGATGGAGCAGGCGGACAGCGGGTTCCGCACGTGGCAGGTGCAGGCAGCCCCACAGTACTGCCTGAAGGTCTGGTAGCAGCTGCCCTCAGACTCTCCCCCCCATTGGCCACCAGAGGGGGCGGTCAGCGCCTCAGGCGGCAGGCGGCTCAAGATGGATGTGTTGACAGCCAGTGCGGCCAGGCCGTAGTCGGTGAAGAGCACAGTCTCGCGGCGGCAGGTGGGGCAGGAGATGAACTTGTACTTCGGACAGGACTCGTACAGGATCTGCAGACATTGCTCACATACCGAGTGCAAGCAGGACAGCACGCGGGGCCGTCGCTGGGTGACGTTGTAGGTGTGCCCGCAGGTGGGGCATTCCAGGGGCTCCCCTGTTGCTGGGGCCCCTGATGCCGACGAGCCTGCAGAGGCCGCTGAGCTGGGCCGGATCACATACTGATTCACAATCACCTCGTCTGCAGGTGCCACGCGGGGGAATCCCAGTTCTGCGCTGCCTTTGCGGGGTCTCCGTGGCAGGGGTGGGGTGTGGGGTGTCCCTTCCAAGGCAGGCATGTCCCCACCACAGGCCTGGTTGACAATGATCTCTGTGTCGGAGGGCCAAGCACGCTTGGGTGCCAGAGTGGGGGCAGGCCGAGGTGCAGGCGGGTAGCAGGGGGCAGCAGCTGGAAGCTCGGGGAACTTTTCAGGGTGCACGATCTTCATGGCCTCCATCTTGAGGATGACATGTGGGCCCTTCAGGCAGGACATGAGGAGGCCCGGCCAGCCACTGCCCACCTCGGGCCCAGGGTCAGCTAGCATCCGGCTGTCTCCAGTCACACCAGATGTTCGGGTGGGCGGGGGCGTTGGATGGGGGCGCGGGGGAAGACGGGGGACAGCATCCTGGTCCTGCCCAGCTTGATGGAGACCCCGGCCGCCCCGTGGACTTCGGGGGGCGGCCGGTGAGACCTGGGGGGGCAGAGTGCCCCCCAGTGGCCACAGTGCCCTCTCTGGTCCAGTCCTGGGAAGGGGAGGCAGGGGTGGGGACGGGAGGGGCAGGCAGGGGCAGGGAGCTGTGGGAGGCTGCCCAGGGCTTGGGGTCTGGCCCAGGCGCTCACCCAGGGTCTCTGGCTGCAGAGGCTGGCCCGGGGGCGCTGGGGGAGGTCCCCCTGCAGCCAGGGTCAGCAGTCCCCGGGCCGGGACATCGGGGCAGGCAGGGGCTAAGTGGGCCCCATGGCTCCAGGACAGGGCGCCCAGGGAAGGCAGCTAGCCTGAGCCCTGGCTGCAGGAAGCCCCGGGCTGCAAGCTCCTCGGCGCGAGCAGTGGCGAGGCCTGCACCAGGTCTGAGCTGCGGGCAAGAGGCGGCGTGAGCGCAGCGCGCGAGCCCACAGTCCAGCGCGCCATCGCCCCCGCTCCCGCCCTGCACAAAGACCCAGGCAACCGACCTCTGACCCCGACCTCCTCCGCAGGGTCCTGACCTCGCAGGCCCGGCCCCTCCCTTCCCCCTCCTAGACGCTGGCGCTCCTACTCCAGCTATCCGGCGAGCAAGGCGCCCCGCCCGGCCGCGCCCCTCCCCCGCTCACCTGCCCCAGCCTGGCGTCCTCGGCTGCGCGCCGCCGCCGCAGAGGTTGTTTCAAAGGCAGGCCCGGACGCGGCGCCCGCCCTTCGCCAGCGGCTCCGATGCTCCTGCGGCGACCCTGACGATGGCGGGAGCGGGCGGTACCCGGGGGCGCGGGCGCGGGGCTCAGCGAGGCAGAGGCAGGTGCGTGCGAGCGTGGCGCGCTCTGCGGCGGAGGCGCGGGGACCGCAGTGCGCGCG